TTACAGAATAATAGTAAACAGGATATAGGATATTTTTAGGATATGTTATACATTTATAGAATATATCAATTTGCTTAAGAATGATTTCGAAAATGATCCAATAAAAGTTAATTGGCGTGCACCGTTGAAACATGTATCCTGTGTTTTAGGTTTTTTTTACGAAGTTTAATTACAGAATGTTATAAATGTAGACATGTTTCTAGAAGTAGTTTGGCAAAGATTGAAAGATAAATTTGTTCAAAACTGGCATGATAGGATACACGCTTCATCACGAGCATTATTTTATAGAAATACAGTAGTTTTCAAGATGCTATTATGTATAGACAGATTGTTATGTCCACCCCTCCCATTTTAAGAGTATATTCTTATGAAATGTGAAATATCATTATTTTAGTAGAAGTATTGTTATAAAATGTTTACGATACTTTCATAATATTGGCCGCCAAGACCAATAGTTCAATTAACTGCATGTATGTGTATCTCTGTTTTCTCTGAAAAAGCTTTGAATTTCATAAAAATGCTGAAGCTGAAGACTTACCGACTTGTTTGCTTGTTTACTTCACATATGGGGCACAAGTGCACATCTGAATCAGCAGAAATACACATATTTTTTTCCTACTGATGCTCAATTTTGAGATCCATATGTAGTCACCCTCGTGCAATATATGGAGGCCGTTATCGACGTCATTACTACGCTGGATTAAGTATTAGCCTAATTGTTGCACATTGCCATTATATACATGTACGTTTATGTGTATATAGTTATACTAATTTTTTGCCTAATGGATTACAGAATAAACTACTACTACTTCTTCAACAAATGTGTGTATTTTCGTTATCTGCAGTAGTCGCTAATGCTCTTGGCATTATAATGTCTTATTATTAATATTGAAACCGACGATCTCATCGGCTCCATAGCTCAGTGGTTAGAGCGCCTGTCTAGTAAACAGGAGGTCGAGGGTTCGATCCCCTCTGGAGCCTTTTAATTTTTTTTAACCCGCTCTTCTATATTCACCTCAGCGATATTCATATTTCTGTTCAAAAGGCGACCTTTAGCTTAAATCACTTTAAATAATTAAAAAAACAAACACACAAAAAAAACAACAAAAACATGTTTTGCCTTTGCATTTTTACTTCACTACGCGTGTTAGTGGTTTGAGAATGTGTTTTTTCCCTTCATATTTCATACTTCTGCTTTATAAAAAAAATGGTTCTACACCACACTATGTATCTCCAATTTGGACATCATTGCGCATGCTTATCTTACGGGTGGTGATGTTCATATTTTTCGTTCTCAAATTTGTATTTGTGCTACTGAAAGCTTTTCTATGTTAGTCGTTTAATGATTTTTACAAAAAAGTAATTTATATTACGTTTTCCATTCGTCATAAAACATTAAAGTTTGTAAAGCGTAGCTTTGAATATACATTAAACTTCAAAAACGAGGAAAGATTATATCTGGATAAACGTCAAATATAACATAATTTGCTAGATTTATGTTCATTATGCCGTTAATGTAAGGGTGTACGCGGTTACACGCAATATACCCAGTCATTCTATAGACGAACTATTTTTATCGGTAAAATCGTTTATATTCAAATGTCTTCTTTTAAAATGTTATTGCAAATTTATTGGCACGCCAATCAGTGTTTCAAATGCACGGTGCTGTATTTTGTCACTAAAAAAAAAATTTGCTAGATGCATTCTTTTCGTTTTGTACTTTAAAGGCACATTTTGTACCTTTAATGTTAATGCCTCAGAAACAAATTAATGTGTCCTTTTGTGGAAAGGGCTCACATAAATGTTATCCCTTTTAGATAATGGTTTAGAACATTCAAGGTGTTTTATTACATGAAATTAGTAGCGCTGAATGTGAAATTATTTGTAATAAAAGTAGTAAAATGTAAACAAAGTAGTATTTTGACTTCCAAACAAAATACTAATTCACTAAAACTATCCTCACTGCCAAACAGCAACTAAAGCAAAATATTGTTTAGATAAATGGCAAATTAGTAACATTTGTGAAACTGTAACAGGACAATTAGAAATAAAAAGTTTTTGAGAAATAAAAGAAAAGCATTCCTGGAACATAATGGGCCCTTAACAAGAAAAAGCCCGTGCATGAAATAATTCACAATGCGCCTTGAAAGCAGCACGCCTCCAGATTCATGTTAATTTTCATGAAAAATTTGGGAAATGATATTTAAATGTAAAAATTGGTTTGGTTGAACAAATATAGTAATTTACATATAAAGCAATTGGCATTAAAATAAAAAAATTAAAAAAAAATGTCAAAATATGCAAAATAACCCCCTTTCTGCGTTTTTAAGCAGTAGAAATTGGTAAAAAAAATGAAAAACAGTCTTAACCCCACATAAAAAGAAAAAAAATAAATTGATCTTAAATTTTTTTTCCTTTTTTAAAAAATTTTAGTTGATTTTTCCCAAATATTTATTTTTTGAAATATTTTGGTCTTTTGGGGGCGTGCAGCTTGAAAACGCCATTAGCTTATATGATTTTTTATTTTATTAAGTAAAAAACCCCCCAAAAAGGGGAAATGAAAAAAATTAAAAATTGTTGTTTAAAATATTTTTGAAAAAAAATTTTATTTTTATGATTTTATGGATTTTTTAGAGAAAATTTTTAATCTTTGGTTCTAGATGACTTAGGATTATTTCATGTGATGAAGCTAACCAGCTGGCTTACGGAACGTCGGTGGTTCTCGGGTTCCCGTTCGTGCACGGAGGGGTAGTTTTCATCCAACAGTAAAGCAGGAAAGTCGCTATTTGGTCTTACTGTGTCGGTGTGACGTTTTTATGTCTAAAAACTAATCAGAACTTTGCATGTCCTTGTTAGAAGTTTTTAAAACTTATAAGGAGAAATAAAATTCTTATTTGTCCCTTGTATAAAAACCTATTTAGAAGCTTAAATGTTACAATAAGGTTTTCATTTTATATTTAGGACACTTAATTAAGATTTATATAAATTATTAATCGTAAGATATCATTTCAGCGTCGATTGTGTATACATGTATTTATATAAAGTGATGATTATCTTTTAAACATTCAAATCGACAGACACGTGCATTCATCAGATTCATTTATATATATTGTATTTCAAGTAAATATTTTTTTCAAATTTCTTTTAAAAACATATAGAGACGAAAATTCTTTAATATATAAACGCAAGTTTTTCCATACTAGCATAGCTTTATTTATAATGGCGCCGCATAATGCATTTATTAAATAAATTTAAAAAAATCTTAATACGTGTATATATCTGTAAGATATTTTTTCTTTGCATGACTTCTTGAAAGTACGAAGATTATAAATAATGAGTACATCAATACACAGATACACTCAGGTAAAATGTTATGTCATATACTTGGACCAGGACACTCATAAGCTTTCATAGCTTTCTGCCCAATTCTAAATGTATTGTGTAAATATTGTTCATCATATTATGTAAATATATCGAATACAATATGTTTAAACCAACATAATATTATATTGGAAATTCAATGAAGGGCGCCAAAATTATGTCAATGAATCTTTGAATAGTCACCATTGACGATGACGAACAAGGAATGAAGGCTTCAAATTATAAAACACTATATATAAACAGCAGTTTATTTCTCAAGGATCGCTTTCTCCCCCCCCCCCCAACACACTAAATCAATTCAGCATACTGTCACAGGGTTGGTATTATGCCCTTTTTATATACGTACGTACGGACGGACGGTCGTGCCTGTTAACTCTTGTCCCAAATGACACGTCAGATGTATGTCAGGGGATAACTTCATACTACATACTTTAACATTCAGGGGATATAATCTTATTACACGCTGTTCAAAATAAAAGTAAGAGTTGTCTTTCTTATTCTTCCTATTGAACTGAAGTATATGCATGCATTTAATTCTGATAGTCTTCTTGTTTGTGAGTAGTCATCTAATTGCTACATTTTCCTCGAAGTCTCCCTGCGCTGTGACCACTCAGAACACAAATGTTATTTCCTTGTTATAATACGTAAACTTATATCAACTTCCTTCTTGCGGTGCGTGCTTAGGTTTACTAAAACAAAATAATTAATTAAGTGTTTTACATCCTTATTTTTATAAACTTTGGTAAATAGATCAATATCGTACTTTAACATTTCTAATTTATAAGTACAATGTGCATATGTAGAATTTTAAGATCCTGTATGTTATGATCAAAGTGGTAAACCACACTAAGTGAAATTATATAATATGTACATAATATTATGCAAATAAAACAATTTTCAAACATCGAAGAATATCTAAAATATGTACTGCAAATATTTGTGCATATTATATGTAATTAATAAAATAAATGCAATAATTTCTTTTTGTAAAATTTGACTTAAACTTTATAGAAAATAAAGTTTTCATTACCTCCCTTTATTAACATGAAATGTTAAATTTGATAATATCTTTATAAATAATGCGTTTTGGAACCTACAATATTGCTAAAACCATAAAAATGTCTTACAGGATCTTTAATTGATGATGACACTTGATGCACCCAAACACCAAAAGCAGGGTCTTTCGAATTTGAAAGACCCTGACCAAAAGTAAAAGAAATAGATATGTATGTCATTTCTGTCAGACTGGATACTGTATATCCATGTGTGAAGCATTGAATGTTTTTCTAGATAAAGATATAAAGTGTGATATAATATATTGTTCAAATATGATAAACCCTTAATTTGGCAATAGGCAATATATCACTGGTCCAAAAAAATATAAATGGACCGAATTATAAATGTCCGCAGACTGGCAGTATAGCCACTTACAAAAAAAAAAAAAACCTTAGTTAATTACTTTAAGTACAGCACTCGTATCTTCTATATGTCATAATTCATTATTTTCTCACTTTCAGTTCTAATTTGTTTGAATTTATATGATTAAATTTATATGTTTAATGTAGGCAAGTCTGCATTATAAAATTAAGTCGATGCAACGAAAGAATACATTAGACGGGCCTCATTTTAAGCAGTTACCCCCCTTAGATCTTGACTAGTAAAGCGCTCAATGAAAGAACAGCGTTGCAAGCGTTTGAATAACCGTTTCCAAAATACTTCCTGCTTTGCGAAAAAAAAGTCAAGAACATTTTTTCACGTAAGTTTTCTTTATTTTAATTGTGTTTGAATTATTTTTTGTCAACTCATGTTTAAGAGCCTTCATTTGTATAAACGCTATAACCATTCGAACTGAAATTTTTTAGTGTCGTTTCAGAAATCTTCAATAATTTTGTTTGCAGCAAAAGACTTCCTGTTTTGTAAAGGCACAGAGTCACGTTCATTTGCTTTGATTAATTAGGTTAGATTAATTGGAGGTTTCAGTTGATTGATAAAGTGCAAATGACATTGCATACGCATAGGTTGATTGGGTCCAATTACTCCAAGTAATTGGTTAATTTTAAAAAACAATGTTCAGAAATGTATTAAATTTTTGTCATTTAACACTGTTTAATCAATACACCAGTTGACAGTTTTAATCAATACACCAGTTGACAGTTTCCGAATTAGCAGACAACAGGCTTTTCTTATCAGTTATTTTGTGTGTAAAGATTACGGGCTGCGTATCTCTGTATAAATCATATGTAAAATGACCTGATATGTGGTAGGTTTTAACAATTAATTTAAATACTTTTAGTGTCTATAGAGATGTTGAACTTGAATTATATCCTGAGATGAAGCTATAAGATCACAAACTTTTCACTGGTGTAATAAAATTTGACAGTAAATCACAATTAACTAGCGGTTTTAAAAAGGCAAAATTTGTATTGTTTTAGCATTAGTGTCTGAGGTATTGATTTTACTCGAAGATAAGGGATACAACTCGATATACGTTGTTTTTTTATACCTTTGTTATTTACGCATTTTATATACTAATATAGGAACTGTCAATGGGTGTGTTATATTTTTATGTTTCCTGGTGATGGTGGATATATGCTGTAGTTTTTCTGGCAATTTCCGCAAAGTTGGCAAATTTTTGATCACCTTGGAAAACTAGTTGGGAAATAAAGTTGTGTACTAAATGTCTATACTGTTAATATATCATTATATGCTTAAATAATGTCACTGTATACACAATTTTACATTACGTTTACCATTCAATTTCTTCCTTTTCTCTGAGCATTCTGTAACAAAACTAACTTAGCTCATTTATGTTTTCCAAGTTTGTTTCATAATTTACTTTTTATGAATCCAAACTAAAATAAATATACTTTTGGAAGCTGAATATTCAGGCATACACTCCAGTCTTCTAGTGAACTGAAAGAGCAATGGATTAGCAATATATATTTGTTCAAATGCCATTCCGTGACTCTACTGATTGATCTATCCGGCTGATTACACATCTTCTCCCCTTCATAGTGAACAGTTCTAAATTGTGACATACTCCTCTGCTATATTACAATTTTCCTGAAGCCATGTTGTTGGTCAGCCAATATGTATATATGACCAGTAAGGCTCCCACGTTTACATTTTTTGTTAACGTTTACACGATTACTAAGAACCGAAACAATACCGTTTAAATGGTGGTACATGTACTTCTATGTACTAAGTACTATACTACACATGTATTCAAGTCGCCAAATGATGACATACTTTCTTTTTTTAACACATGTACAAATAAATAATGTTCAGGGCTCATCATGATTGAGTCAGCACACATTTTCCGCATTGTTTCCTCATTTTGCTGTTTTGAAAAATCAAAATAAAATCAACTTTACCAAAAATGTCACAAGCGATCATTGCACCGTAATGCTGTGTGGAGGGTTGTAAACACCTACTTTTTGTTGTTTTTTTTACTTTGGAATAAACCAATTAGAATAAATAGAATTCATGAATACAGGCAATCATTAAGATATTTTGTAATACAATATGTTCATTTCGATTAAACGGTAAAAATGATTGTAAACGTTTACAAATGAAAATCGAAACGAATCTGTTTTAACGTGTAACTGAGGGGGCCTTAATGTCCAGGTGCGATTTAACTTCAGTGTGGCAGTGTTTTACAACATATTAACGTTAATGACAATGGTGGATAATTAGCAGGATTGCTGCAATCCCTTTTCTAGAAGATTTGGGGTTAACTTGGGCTGACTTGCCTATAAAAATAAGGCAAAAAATCAGCTTGTAACTTATCTGGCCCAGATGGCTTGTGGGTTTCAAGGTCCTGTAGTAGATTCCTGACACCATTCTCACTATCTGTATCTTAATTCTTTAATATATTATGTTTTATGTGTTCTTCGTGAAGACATTGTTAATTGGTCCAGTAAGCCAACACTATTTTTTAAATGATTATTTAAATATAGAATGATTTTGTTTCATAATACTATGACATGAACATCTTTCATGTAAATTCTATTACAGGAAAGAAGCAAAGGACCATGGGATACATTACATCAGCTGAGAGCATCAAGCTTACCTTTCCATGAAAGCATTCATTGTGACATAGTTTTTTTTTTGTGGTTGTGACATCTATAAGGTGTAAGAAAAATGAGTCGCGAGGGGAAGGAAATTTTGATGGACTTCATGTTAAAAGAGGGCAATGAAAAAAGGAACAGTATTTACGTCACAGAGTTATAAGGAACGATGGTTTCAGCTCACTGACAGTAGCCTCACATATTACAGTGGAACTTTAGCTGTAAGTTAAATAAAAAAAGAAAATTCATATGTTTACTTATTGAAGCCTAGTAAAAATATATTTCAACAAGTAACTTTATTAAAGACAGAAAAGGAAGTAAATGAAAATAATTGGCAATGAAATAATGTATCAATATGTAACATGTATCTTCTCCAGAAAGTGGCCTAAAAGAAACTTAGTTTTAGGGACAGGTAACTCAAATGGTATGATGTTGACCCCCCAATTTTCTTCATCAATTTTGCTTCATGAATCTTAAATCTCTTTAATCATGCAAAAGTTTAAGGAAATTTTCTGTACTACTTTAAATTTTCCTTCTTTGCCTTTGTAAAAATATTGCATTACTCTTTGAATTGTCTTAAATGACCTTGACCGACTTCCATTTTGGAACTGTTCATTATCATTTTGGGATGTCTAGGTGAAAATTTGACTTTTTGTCAACCAACAGTATAAAGACTGGTCAAACTGCACATACAGACTGGCCTAGCTCTATACTATGGTGGCTAATTTGGTTACACTTTGTGGTGTTGCATTGTCAATAGCTACAATACAATCTATATTGTTATCGCCTTTTTGTCTTGTTGCTAGCGAAGCAAGCCAAACGGCACGTTGTCGCACTGTCATCGTGTCGTCCTATCACTAGCGAAGCACGCCAAACAGTGTGTTGAGGTGCAGGCACGTTGTTGCCCTGCCGCTTGGCTTACATAATTATGTATATATATACAAATAGCAAATCCTTCTCATAAATTGATTGATCCTCAATGTGACATTGCAACAACATGCCACATGACAATGCGCTGTTTGAGTGTGCTTCGTTGGCGACAGGATGACAAGACTACATTGCTACAATGCACCGTTTAGCACACAAATCAGCCACCATACTATAGATGGCAATGGCTCACCCTCTACAGTTCTAGTAGGTTAAAGCTTAATGTACATTGTCATTGTATGAACTGAGTGTGAGCGTGGCTTAAAACTCAACACAAAGAAGTGAGAAAATTGTATGAACGAAATTTACAAAAAAATTGAACTTGCTGCCATTTTTCAAGAAGCCCTAATAGTTTATTATTTTCTTTGTTTCTTATATGTAAACATTTGTTATTTACAGAAAAGATCAAAAGCAAAGGGTACTATATGTTTGAATAATGTAAAAACAGTGGAAACTGTGGAAGATGGAAAGCTGGATGATAAAAGCAATGTTTTTCAGGTATGGTCTCATACTATCTTATAACCAGTATAACTAGCAATTTATCTGTTTTGGGCAAATTTGTGTCCAATGATACTTTCCTTAAAGAACATTTTTCCTCCTACCTTTGGCAAAAATTCCCCATTAAAAATGAATAAATAAACAATACATGAACATTGCAATATTGAAACTTAAACTCATGTACTTTCTGAAATGCTTCATATTTAAAAAACAAAATTATTTTAATTATGCCCCCACAAAGTGGGGGGGCATATAGCGTTGCACTTGTCTGTACATACGTCCGTCTGTATGTCCCAAAATTTTGTGAACGCAACTCCTCTTAAACAGGATGGCAGATTTTGCTTAAACTTCCAGGGATGAACAACCTTAATGTGTAGATGGTAGTTAAGGAAGGAATTTTTGCTGAGGCCAAATTTAACAGAATTATGGCCCTTTGTTGATTTTTTCACTATGTACTATGTAGAAATTTTGTGAACGCAACTCCTCTTAAACAGGATGGCAGATTTTGCTTAAACTTCCAGGGATGAACAATCTTAATGTGTAGATGGTAGTAAAGGAAGGAATTTTTGCTGCGACCAAATTTAACAGAATTATGGCACTTTGTTGATATTTAGTTTTCAACTTGTGGCACATGTAGTCCAAAAAATATTTGACCTAGAGTCATAAGATTGACAGAACAGTGGCGTGTGGGGGCATCCGTGTCCTATGGACACATTTCTAGTTTTTTACTTGTTTCATAGCAAATGATGGTAATTGTCAAAATTGATTTGTACCCCTATGATTGTAAGTGCATTTTTCTCCTGCTTTTAGTTCTGTCACCAATTTCCCAATTCTGTTCAAAATTTCTAATGTAAATCTACATTCATCACCCTTTGTTCTGGTTGATGATACATCAAACTTTATTAAATTTAACAATGTGTTTATTATAAATGGGTATCGAATACTGCCTGAGATGATCTAGTGATAAGCAAATGTAGGTGTCTGCTTCTTAGCCCAGAGATCGTGGGTTAAAGCCATACTAAGACTCAACCATGTCTCCTCATATGACACCACCTGTGGTGAGAAGCCTATACACTGTTGATAAATGAAATCACTGTACCATGTCTTGCCATTTCTTTGTGTTGTGCTTACAAACACATATCTCTGAACACTGAACCTTTATTTGGAAGCCTGTACTTTCTTGCAATAGTTGGATGTGGACTGATTTATACAATATGCTTTATAAGGGTTTCAATTTCTTTTTTTCAATAGATTGTGCTTCTTTTTTCAATAGATAATGCACAGAACAGAAAAGGGGGAAGGTTATTACACTTTATACATTGTTGCTCAGAGTGCGGAGCAACAGAAGAAATGGGTTGATACCTTAAAACAAAGTAAGTGTAATAAGGAAAATTGTGAGTGTTGATATGATGATCTCTTCTTAACCAGCTCTTATATATTAATAACAGACAGGAAAGTAAAATATCAGTAGATGCTTTAGATTTTTATATGTACAGTTAAATGTATAATACTCAAGTTAAGTACTTGTGACATATAAAATCATGGATAACTCAAGTGATCAGGAAAAATTAATAGGATACATGTATATTACTATGTCAGTGAATTTTTTTTCCCAGCCATTAAAGATCTTTATGTAACATTTTTACCTTAGTACCACACTGGTGTATAGACAATTTAATGTATATTACTATGTCAGTGAATTTTTTTTCCAGCTATTAAAGATCTTGGTGTAACATTTCTACCTAAGTACCACACTGGTGTATGGACGAAGACTCTAGGACATTACAACTGTTGTGATCAGATAGATAGAAATGCCCCAGGCTGTCAGATGATACCTGATGATGGTGGGTGATTTTAATGATTATTTTCATTTCATTTTACTAACCTGACTGATATCCATAAAGGTTAACATTGCCTAATTTGTGAAGTGAATTTGCCATTTTTTAGCTCACCTGTCACAAAGTGACATGGTGAGCTTTTGTGATTGCTTTTCGTCCGTCCGTAAACTTTTACTTTAAACGACATCTCCTCATAAACCGCTAAGCCAATTTCATCCAAACTTCACAGGAATGTTCCTTTGGTAGTCAACTTAAAAAATTGTTCATATAATTTAACTCCAAGCAGAACTCTGGTTACCATGGCAGCTGAAAGAAAAAACTTAAAATATCTTCTTTTAGAAATTGAAAGAGCTAGAGCTTAAATATTTGGCATGAAACATCATCTAGTCAGTGTCTACCAAGTTTGTTCAAATAAATGCCCTAGGGTCAAAATTTGCCCCATTGATTTTCCTTATTTGAATATAGTAAAAACTTAAAAAATCTTGTTTAAAAAAACCCAAATAGCTAGAGCTTAAATATTTATCATGAAACATCTTCTAATGGGTTTCTACCAAGTTTGTTCAAATAAAAGCCCCTGGTTAAAAATTAGTCTTGGCCCAGGGGCCTATATACAGGTGAGCGATTTCAGGGCCATCATGGCCCTCTTGTTTGTTATTGTATTGAATACTTGAGTGATTTATTACGAGCATTTGAACGATATATAATGCAAGAAAAATTAATATCCATTTCCATTCTAACTTGCTAATTAAAAAAAGAGAATTGATAAGAATATGTTGAACTACATTGAGCAGTAATATAATCCTGCCCGAAGGCCGTATGCCTGAGTGAATAATTACAAGCATTTGAACTATGAATCATGCATTATTGTACTATAATGCAAGAAAATAATATCTATTTCCATTCTAACATTCTAATAAAATAGAAAAATTTATAAAAATATGTTGAACTACACTAAGGGTAGAAGTTGTTTTGCTGACATTGTTTTTGGTTTATTGACATCATATCTGACGTCATATGTCTTAGTAGCATTCTTTTTTTATGGTGTGCATATATTGTGTAATATTGCACTTGTTTGTCCTATCTTTTGATAGGGGAATGGTGTGAAGCATGTTAGAATGATAGTTAGAACTTAACATTAATAGTTTAGGGTGTTATTGTTACTTCTAAAAATAGATATAAATAGTAAATTGTATGAACTAATAGATTTTGACCAAGCTTGGTATTTAACATAAACTGATCAGATATACTGTAGATTTGTTTGATTGGTAAGCACTTCACACAGGTGAGGAATTATTACAGCAAGCTTAGAAAAACTAAAGGGCTATTCCATATTTAATTCTGGAAGTATTTTTTCCTTTTGGTTGTATGATCTAAGTAGATATGTATTTTATCATACCATAGACATGGTGTCTTCCTGATGATAAAATACATAAAAAGGGACCAATTTCTTTATAAGATAGTAACACGTAATATGATTGTTAAAGTACAGGTTTTAGAAAAGGTATGTATTTGTGTGATATTTCTTACTAAAACTGATTTATTCTTTCCTGCTTTGAAGTTTATGAAGATATTTTACCATCTGCTTTGACTTTAAGATTTTAGTTGTTTTACTAGCATTCTTTTTTTTCCAGTTTTTATAAGATCTGAACTCTTAATTCCATGACTTACTTCACAATTTTTGCTAAAAATCTAACTGTGAAGTTATGTTTGATTGACAGTCCATTTTTGAACAATATTCCAATTAACTATTGATCCAGTGATAAGAAAATAAATAGTTTATTAATAGGATTATAATATTGTGGTAATGGGTTGAGTAGTAAGGCTGAGTAGTAAGGTCAGTGACTGCAAAAAACTTGCCCCTCGTGGCTGTGGGTTCGAATTCCAAAAGGGACTTTGGATTCTTTCATGTGAGAGAGCTATTTAGCTACATTGGGGAACGTCGGTGGTTCTACTTGGGTGCCCGTTCGTGCCTGAAATAATGCCCAGAAGGGAATATTGTGGATTTCTGCTCAAAAGGCTAATTTTGTGTATTGAAATAATTTTCTGTTCTGAATCTTGAGCTTACTAAAAAGAAAGTAAATAACTATATCTTGTTGAAAGTGGATTTGTTGCATTATGTTTTGATTGGAGATGAGAGGATACCTGTAACAGAAAATACATGCAAAGTATTTACTAGCTTGTTTTGGAGTATTGGTACATACTGAATGACTGAAATCTAGAATTTATGATTTATGCGTTTTTCTTTTTTTTTTGGTTTGGTTTAAACATATTTATTTAAGCTCGATTGCGAAACAAGTTCTTGCAACTTATATTAATCACTTTTGAGTCCGCTTCCTGGAACCTGGAACCAGTACTGGTGTCATATGAAGAAACATGGTTGTGACCCGAGTTGGGCTCGAACCCATGATCTCTGGGTTGAGAGGCAGACACCTTAACCACTAGGCCACCACTTCCCGCTTGTTTTGGGTTATTTTTTTTCCCCTAAAATAATTTGTATGAAGAGGGCTTTATTAGTTCATGTTAGAGTTATAGGTCAAGGTCACCATTAAAGATCAGATGTTGATAACTAAAACAAATGTTAAATACTATGTTAACATGGAGCATATCAGTGAAGTCATGTAATTATCATTCTGACTGCTAGAACTTAAACCTAACTGGTTAACTAACTGGTTAACTGAACTCGGCCAACATGATACTGTGAATATTCATAGTGCTAAATTGTGACTTATGATATTCATAGTCACCGCAAACAAAAGCTTCATATCTTTGATAAAATCAGTTTTCAAAACAATCTTGTTTTACTTATTTTCTATACAATCTCGCTATTTCACAACAACAAACATTAACCTTTTATCATTTGATCAATTCTTACAATTTTGCAATACTTTAAAATTTTAACTATATCAGTTTAAGCAAAGTCCACCTTTTTTAAATCAATCAAAGTCTACAAATTCAAAACAAGCAAAGTCAACCTAATTTGAATAAAACCAAGGTATACCTATGTTCAATGCAAGTAAAGTCTTTTTAAAAAAATTTCCAATACAAACAAGGTATACTTTTTTCAATATACTTAAAAGTGATTTTTATATAGAACATACATAAATTACCTAGTTTTACTACAAAGAATAAACTCAAGAAGAAAAAAAAAAAACAATATTAGCACACTTACAGTCTCCATATTTGTACAGTCACCAAATTTCAAACTTTTATAAAGGAAATGTACGTTATCTTGATTTAGAGTGTATTGTGGTATGATATAGGACTGTATAGTGTTCGTACATACACAAATTTTTAGTACAATGCCTTAATGTTAAAATTTGGGATGTAAGTTAAAACTTACGCAAATCTTAAGCGTAAGTTAGTTAGTAAAACTGCCCCCAGATACACAGTTTTAAGATCATGAAGGCTGTTAATAAGGCTTGAGTGATTAATTACAAACATCTGAGAGACATACTCTGTAATAATATGAGCCGCGTCACGACAAAACCAACATAATGGGTTTGCGACCAGCATGAATCCAGACCAGCCTGCACATCCGCGCAGTCTGATCAGGATCCACGCTGTTCGCTATCAGTGTATTTATTTGTTACAGGGTCTGTAAGCAAACAGCATGGATCCTGATCAGACTGCGCGAATGCGCAGGCTGGTCTGGATCCATGCTGGTCGCAAACGCACTATGTTGGTTTTGTCATGACGCGGCTCATATGACACAAAGCACTCTTAATGAAGATACATTTTTAGTTTAAGACATAAGTGCAATGTATAGGGTTAAGACATTACAGTGTTGAATTATAGGCTATTCCAATCTGCAGATAAATTTACGTTTTGCACAAATACCATCTTTGAAAACCTTTTTTTATGTCCCTCCAACTTATTGTTTATTGTTTCAATCAGGATTGTTTATTGTGTAAATCCATATATCTTGGAAGGGCAAAGTCTGGTTTTTTTTTTTTACGTAAATGCATACTGTACAGATAAAGGAATGAGAACGTGTCTTATTGTGAACTTACACATGCTTCAGGTCTTCTTTTTTTATATAGAAAAATCTCCAATCGTGATTGAATCATATTTTAATACATTTATTACTATTATTCATCTACCAGTATAAATATTTCAAGCTATCTCTAAAATATTTTCAATATCATATAAGTATGCTAAATACATGTCAATAAAATTAATATATTCTCATTCTAAAACATACCTAATATTGTATCAAATTACTCTAGATATATGAGCGGCGTCACGACAAAACCAACATAATGGGTTTGCGACCAGCATGGATCCAGACCAGCCTGCGCATCCGCGCAGTCTGATCAGGATTCATGCTGTTTGCTATCAGTTTCTCTACTTGTTATAGGGTTTGTAACAAACAGCATGGATCCTGATCAGACTGCGTGGATGGCGGGCTGTTCGGGACCGTGTCGAAAACCCCTTTTTATCAAAAACCCCCTCCCGATTTTGCGACCCGTAAATATGTTTTTCACGGCCGTGCATATATTTTGACTGACGGCATTAGGTTAACAAATAGTGAAAAGAGGTTAAATGTTGGTTATAATAAGGCGCGAAATGTAAAATACTCTTTTTCACTTTAAAAGGGTTTTTATTTTTTTTGATAAATAAAAATTTTTAAAATTGGTAAGTTATTACTGAATTTATTGCCCTTTTTAAATAAAATAATTATGTCCCCAGAGGTCCATAATAAAAATTTTATTCAACCGTGCAAAAAATTAAATTTTAAAACTTACATCATTAAATATCCTCTATATTTTGTTTTTCATGAAATGTCTAATTATAATCTGAAACATAACAGCCCAACTCAAAGCTAAAAAAAATACTCAAAGCTACATGCCTCCAGACTCGTGCACATTTTTATGATGATAATAAATTTAGTAGTTGAGATTCAAAACATAATTTCACCAGAGTTTATTTTAACATTTGCATTTTATACTATTATGCGATGTGGCCAGCCTAAACAGAGAGATTTAAAAAGAGTCACATAGTTTAGGAATGTTAACACAATTGTCTTTTTCATGGTAACTCTTCATAATATTTTTTAAGTTTGAAGTATTGAATATTTCTTTGTTGATTAGGTTCGAGGCATTTTGCTTTGATATTAAGGAAAATATTTAGATATCATATTACTTACTATTATCCTTTAAATCTAAGCATTGCCAAAATAAATGTGCAAACTAAAGCTATTTTCAGGATATTCTTAACTGCTAGCTGAGATTTTCTACTTTACTTGCTGAAGCTAGTTAAATTGTTGTTGCTATTGTGTCAAAATTTTCTGTGTTTCCATGCATTCATAAGCTGTATTAGATACTTCTTTTCAAAGGAAAATGTGACAGAAAAGACTAGTGTTTATGCTTTTGACAAAGTAATTATATTATTACATAAACTTTTGCATTCTTATGTTGCCACTTTAGCATTTGCAGCATCCTTTGATATGGTTTTGTCATCACCTCTTTCTTGTCCAAACAGTTACAATAACTTTTAAAGGAATAATCCATGGTTTATGTTACATAGTAGGGCCATGGCCAGTAGATGACATCTTATCAGTTTTGAGGTCAGTAGGTCAAAGGTCATAGTAACAGTTGCATTGACAATTAAAGCTTGTTTGACCAATAGCTAGAGTACACTTTGTCTTACTGTTCTATGTTGTTGATCAGACATGGAGATGCCCCTTATTTATTTGGAGGTTATAATGTCAATGTTCACAGTTGCACTGTAAGGAAAATTCTTGTCTGTCAATCACTTTAGAAGGAATAAGGCTAAGTTATGAAACCTAATGATTTTTCACTAGAACATAGATTGTAATATGAGATAAAGACATGTACCTGGAATACTAGATTGGAATACCAGATACATAGATATGCCTTAAATTAATTAACATACACACACATAGACCTGAAATACTATATACAGACATGTGCCTAAAATACTAGATATACTTGTGTAGATACTTGTACAGACATTTGCCAGAAATACTAGGTACCTAATGTGCCTAGAGTAGAATCACCATGTAATGTAAGTGTGCATGAAATTCCCGATACACACATTTTAAATTACTTTTATTTTTCCATTTTATAGGGTCAGCAGCAGGACAAAACAATGCCCCACGCTCTAATTTACCTCCTCTACCGGATATACCTGGACAACCTAAGACCAATGGTACCGGAGGTAATAGGCCGGTTCCTGCGCCAAGACCACCGAAAAGGGAGAAGGAGAAAGATCGGGAGAAGAAAATGTATATTGCAGCTTACGATTATAAACCATGTGAAGAAGGGGATCTAGAATTAGTCACGGTATATTTTATTTATTTGACGATGCCAATGTCTTAGTGGATTATATATACATGTATATAATATATATAATATCTTGGTAAGGTACAAAAATAATAAATTCTCATCTTTAATAGTCATTTTGTTAATTTTTCCAGTTACATGTATATAATTGTGAAATCCATAGAATCACCTTGACCTTTTATTTTTGGCATGCTGGTTGTTTAATTAAATTTAGATAAAAGGAGTTTATTTTGCGACCAGCATGGATACAGATATATAAAACCTTGTAATGTTTGAAGAATTAAAACAGTAAATTGTATTATTTTTCCTCCATAATCCTTGTTTATAAATATTCCAAGTGAATCTTGTCTTACTAGCTATTCTAACATAGCTTACAAAATGCCAGTCTGATCTGAAATGGGTAAATTTCTAACTTTCCCAATATTACTGGTATATCTTAAAAATTTTTGTTGTTGTTTTTTTTCACGGTAAACCAATAAATAGTTAAATACTGAATTGCTCAGAATATGGCCAAGACATTTCTCAAATAAATCTAAAGTTTATCTTTTGCTTTGTTTAAAATTAGATAAAATATTACATTAAATCCTAATGATCATTTAATTTTGTTTTGCAGTTGTTGTTGTATGTTAAATGGTTTGTTACTAGAATGGTTAAGTAGATAGTAATGTATAGATCAGTTAACAAGTTTGTCATGTATAAAATTGTAAATAATTAGTTAAGAAAATGACTGTATAGAATGGTTAATGAGATATTTATATAAATGACTGAAAATAGTGGTTAATGAGATAGAAATGACTGGAAATAATGGTTAATGAGATAGAAATGACTGAAAATAATGGTTAATGAGATAGAAATGACTGAAAATATTGGTTAATGAGATAGAAATGAGTGAAAATAATTGTTAATGAGATAGAAATGACTGAAAATAGTGGTTAATGACATAGAAATGAGTGAAAATAATGGTACATGAGATAGAAATGACTGAAAATAATGGTTAATGAGATAGAAATGACTGAAAATAATGGTTAATGACATAGAAATGACTGAAAATAATGGTTAATGAAAATAATGGTTCATGAGATAGAAATGACTGAAAATAATGGTTCATGAGATAGAAATGACTGAAAATAATGGTTCATGAGATAGAATTGACTGAAAATAATGGTTAATGAGGTAGAAATGACTGAAAATAATGGTTAATAAGATATAAATGACTGAAATAATTGTTAATGAGGTAGAAATGACTGAAAATAATGGTTAATGAGATAGAAGTGACTGAAAATAATGGTAAATGAGATAGAAATGACTGAAAATAATGGTTAATGAGATAGAAATGACTAAAAATAATGGTAAATGAGATAGAAATGACTGTATAGAATTGTTAATGAGATAGTATTGACTGAAAATAATGGTATATGAGATAGAAATGAATGTAAAGAATTGTTAATGAGATAGTATTGACTTAAAATAATGGTTAATAAGATAGTATTGACTATATCAAATGGTTAATTAGATGGTAATTTATAGAGTTGTCAATGAGATAATTATTTATGTCTCAGGGTTCAGAGTATGAAGTATTAGATGACAGCAGGGATCATTGGTGGCTAGCTAAAAATATGGCTGGGTAAGTATTTTACATTCTGTCCACCTAATGTTTGTTTAAGCATAAATTCCAGATAGATAATAAATTTACTCAAAGTATATACAGTTCAAAATCATGGAGAAATAAGAAATGTCAGTAGGTTTTTATTACTTTATCTCCTGATTATGTAAGTGGATATTTGTGTGTCGGTAAAATTTGTGTATGCTAAAAAGAGGACTTTTGAACTGTGACCTGATAACATGAATACTTATTCTATTGAAAATAATTATTTTGTTGTATTAATGACATTTTGTGTTAATGACAGAGATTATTGATACATTTTAAAGTATATAAAGCTCTATATCAGCTGCCTGTGGTTTACCATTAAAAAATTTATTTTTTTTGAATTTTGGAAAAATACCTGTATGAAAGAAATATGTTTATATATAACATTCCCTAAGAGTGAATGGCACATGCATGAAGTCATTGATAAACAATGAAGATTCTGCTTAAAATAGCAACATAGTATATTGTTGCAGAACATTTTATTCTGTTTACTTACACTATTCATATATGTCAAATTAATCAGACATTCTACGGTACTATTCTTTTTGAGGATCTAATATACGATAATTGAAGCAACATAACTTTACATTTTATAGATTTTCTAAAAAAATATTTAATTAGATATAGCCTTATACCCTTTAAAATATCATTTATATCATTGAGGTTTTTTTGTAATCAATTTGGTTTATAGTTTGTATCTAATTTGTGTTTTTGTTGTTCTTTTTTTTTCAGAGAGAAAGGTTTTATCCCGGCAAACTATGTGAAAAAGAAGTTTGATTTAGAAATTTATGAGTAAGTAGACATAAGCACTAGAAATTGCACCAGTATTTATCATTACTATGTTAGTACAGTAAAACATAGGCCTGAAAAATATATTGTTTGTTTCCCATCACAGTATACCTACCCACTAAAATCAGTGCTACTTAAAAAAAGTTTTGTCATCAAAAAAGGATTTTTTTTTTGTACTTAACATTTTGTCAATGAGAATAACATATTTATATATGTCTCATGTTTTTAATTGTAAATACAAACGAGAATGCATTGAATTAAACTGAACCTTTGGTTCTAATCTTTGAACAAATGCTTAGCATCCATAATTTCATTTATACGCGAATAAAAATATTATGTTCAATAAAAAAAATATGTTTGATAAAAAAAAACAACATATTTTACCAACCCTACCCAATATTGCATGGGTCATGGGAGGGGCAACAAATATGTTAATAAGGTTGGCCTACCTGTAGAATACAGACCTTAAGAAATGGAAAAAGTGGTCCCTATGGACATAGAAAAGTACATCATTTGATTGTAACTGTCCACCATCCACATTACAGTGTGAGGGAAGGGCAATAATTTACAAACAAGTCTGTAGTTTAATTAATATTTTTGTGGTACAACTTATTTTTTATGGTGTATTCAAATGTTATTGAACTGTTACACACATTTATATTTGCATGTCTGGTTAAACATGTACAAGTATATTTGCATGAATCTTGCATTAAAGCAGCACTCGTCCAGACAATAATATTATGTTCATTTTTATGAAAACTTAAAAATTGTTCTAAATGAGTCAAGTGTGCAATTTAAAGTGTTTTAACCAGGCCTAACTTAAGGCACTTGCTTACTTTTTATAACTTGTCAGAATGGCAGAAATGTTTCTTACTTTGGTAATCAATGATGCAGAACTTTTGTAATGAAAAATAGATTCTGTAAAATTTTGCATACTGTATAAGTGGTTAAGTAAGCGACTGAGACATATACGCACTTTCTTGAATTGATTAAAATCGCTAAATTATCCTCCAGCGTAAATATCAACCTTCTAAAGTTTCCTTAAATTCTACCCTTACAGGTTTCGCTAATATTTCCTCACACGAAATTCTGGAATGATAAATTTGTTAACTTTTCAAAATGCAGAAATAACCACTTATACAGTTATGTATTAAAAGTTTCCCCTGGATTGTGGATACCTGTTACTTATATATTTCTTAAGTTTGATAATTTTGAAGATTTATTTTATTCCTCTAGATATGTGCTGCTTTAAGTATTACCTTCATCAAAACTTTTGCAATTATTCAGACAAATATCTGTATCATTAACGTGTTGTGTAGAAAACTTCAGGTATCGAATCAGTACTGTTTTTCTGACAATCTTAGTAAGAATATATTTACTGTAATAATAGAATCCTACATTTTGTAAAATAAGATCACACATTTTGAATAGACTGATATTATTTACCCTGCTGACACCAAGAGAAATTAGCATTTAGCAAACAGTATAGAGTCAGGCTAGCCTATTACATCCATGTAGTCTGAACTATACTGTTGGCAAATAAAATTTAAATTTTCGTTATTGATGACCAGTCTAGTTAAGATATTAAGCAGGTTAAGATAAAAGAAAACAATTTATGGAATGCCTGTGGCGAGTTTTAATGTACGGTATGTTTGTATGGCATGAAACTGGTGTTAGATTTTTAGCTCGACTTTTCTATGAAAAGGGGAGCTATCCTACTCGCCCCGGCGTTGGCGTCGGCTTCGGCGTTGGCGTCGGCGTTGGCGTCACACCTTGGTTAAGTTTATCGTACCACCCCACTTTATTTCAGAAGTATTACAAGTATGGCTTTGAAACTTACCATACTTGTTCACCATCATAACCTCCATCTACAGACAAGAGTACATAACTCTGTCAAGGTTTTTGACAGAATTATGGCCCTTTTTTGACTTAGAAAGTGTATTGAGCTTGGTTAAGTTTTTTGTACCACCTCACTTTATTTCAAAACCATTGGAGGTATTGCTTTGAAACTGACCATACTTGTTTACCATCACGAACCTTCATCAACAGACAAGAGGACATAACTCTGTCAAGGTTTTTGACAGAATTATGCCCCTTTTTGACTTAGAAAATACATTGAATATGGGTAAAAATCCACTTATTGCCTTAACCCTTTTGAGATATTGCTTTGAAACTTTTAATGCTATTTCACATCATTACCCCCATCTGTACGCAAGAGAAGGTAACTCTGTCAAGGATTTGTTTTAAAAATTAAGGCCTTTTATCGACTTTAGAATCTTGGTTAAGTTTTTAGTACCAGTCCACTTTTTGACTGAACTGTTTGAGATATTAATTTGAAAGTTGGAATACTTGTTTACCATCATGGTCCCAAAACATGGGCAGGAGAAGGTAATTCTGTTAAGGATTTTATTTGAATTATGGCCCTTTTGACTTAGAAACTCAGTTAAGATTTTCATTCTTGTCCACTTGTTGACTTAACCATTTGAGATATTACTTTGGAAGTTGGAGTTCTTATGTGCCATCATGAGACCTATCTGTAAGCAAGAGAAGATAACTCTGTGAAAATGTTTCTTGATTTGTACTTAGAAATTCCTAGTTAAAGTCTTGTGTGCCCTTAACTGTCAAAGTTTTGTTTTATAGGCAAGCACTAAAAAAGTCGAGCGCGCTGTCCTTCTGACAGCTCTTGTTTAATATTATTAGATATTTAAAAAAAATTTAAAGCCATTTAACACCATAAAAAACCTGGTAAAGGGCCATTTATTGCTAAAAATGTATTATATATAAAGAAAGACATAATGGTTATGATACATTAATAGATTAGAAATTTCTGGATTCTTCTTTGAAGTTCAGGATTTTAGAACTTGTAAAAGTCTATACTAAACTGATAAAAAAATTACATTTTTTAAAGAATTTTTGACATTTTTAACTTCAGTCCATGGAGCATTTTAAAATATGCATAAAACATATAATAAGGTGACTTATTTATACCTATATTGAGTATATACACACAACTATGTGGTAATCTTTTATAGTTTGGGATTGATGTGCTTTTGGTATGATTTGACGAAACTTAAAAAAATTGTTTCAGAAAGAAAAAAGTTCCAAAATTTTTGATGAAGATTTATATAGAGGTGTATTTATCCCTACACTAACCATTTCACTTTACAGATGGTACTATAAAGGTGTGACACGTGAGAGAAGTGAACAAATTCTGAAATCTGAGTCACGGGAAGGGTGCTTTATGGTACGAGACTCAAGCACTCCGGGAATGTATACTTTGTCCATATACACTACAGAAACGTAAGTTGGGCACTCTTTATAATAAATATAATATATTAATTGAATTATTTAGCAAAAGGGAAGGCTGTGTTGTAAAAAATAACCCCAAAAATATGTGTTTCAGGATTTCTGGACTATCTTAAACTTTACCACCAAAATTGTGTAAAGGAAAACAGTAGATGATATAAAAATTTTATAAGTTCTTCATTGTTATCAAAATTAGAAAAAAGAAAGAATTATTGTATATATTTAAAAAAAGAATAAAGAAACCTGAATCAGAGAATTTCTTGCTGGAAGTAAATGCTGTACACATAAATGCCAATCACATAGCATGAACTGTTGTAAGCCTTATATTAAATCTATTATGCCGCTGCAACAATTTGGATATTAGAATTAAAGTCACTTTAACCTTTACATTGGTGTAGTCTAATCCTTTAAGGCTTTATATTTTTTAGCTTTTAGGTCCTGCTCTATAGATTGGATTGAGCATATGTTTGTTTTTAGTCTGTTTTTTGTTGTTTTTTTCCACAAAAGTTTAACCATTACTGTAACATGTAAAGTCCTTCAACCTACAGGATATAAAAACTTTAACTACAGAGACATGCTTTGAAATGAGCTGTAACTGCCAGACCCATTTAAGAGGTCTCAGGGTCAAAGGTCAAGGTCACCATCTAGGGCATGGCATTCATTGGATAATGTAGCTGTTTTGGTTATTTTTTTAAAATCCCTTAAATAAAGAAAAATGACATTGACAAGACTGCTGGTATTTCACAAATTTATTGGTTGCAAGGAATGACAGTCCTATTCTGAAGCAGAGAAATAGCTTGTCCCTTTGGTAGAGATGATAATAAAGAAGTATTTATCTAGGTGGAACTAAAAAATGATAAGCCCCTGCCTCCAGTATAGACCAAGGCTGGCCCGCACATCCGTCTATCTGACCAGGTTTATATAGTAGGCTGACCAGTTTCAAATTCTATCCTGAAATCCCCAAAATTGATAATGGACGATAACAAAAATGGAAGTTGGGACTAGTCCATTCCAAAATTCAGCAGTATTTAGCAAATTAATATTATATGATGTGATAGTTCGGTTAACATTATTAATTAGCATTAAATATTATTTCCATTGAGCTAGAGTAGCTCATGGCAGTCTCTCTATTTTATGAATATTATTTGTATTTGGTTTTCTTTTTTATTGTAAACCTGTGTAGTTATTTGTTTGTTTGTGTAATGACCTTGTTTTTCTTGTCAAGGAGGCAAAGTTATGCCAGTGCTAGGTAAGAGCCTTACAACAGATAGATGCCTAGATGATATATGAATAATTGTGTAGTCATAAAATAATTGTGTAGCCAGGAAGTTTGCTTATACCCCACCCCCCACTCCCGTACCCTCCATACCCCAACACAATAAATTTATTTGAAAATATATTGTATCTATCATATAGGGGTAACATGTCAGTTTTAATGTATTAGTTTGTGTGGCACGGTTTAACACCAAGACAATTTGTACCAGTATCTGCTGTATTTGTGTAGAGTTTATTAACTGTTGCCATTAAAATTTTGCAGTGAGAATTATCATTTGGTTTATTTTATAGCTCTTTCATCAGTTCTCACTTAGGCATGATTAAAAAAGATATCATACACTTTGGGTGTACCATAAATATTCTGCTCATGTAAGTAAATATCTGAGCAAAATACTGATTTCAGCTAACTTTGATTGAGAACTTTGAAGATAATTATCTTGTGTACAAAAAATTATCAGACTAAATATTTATAAGTTTAAATTTTTTATTTTTTTTTAATGCGTTTATATAAGGTGGCGCAGGAAAGCCCATATGGGCGACCGTACACTCAAGTCGGGCCATCCTATAGCGTCCCGCCGAGATTTTTTCGTCAATTTTTTCCAGCTTTATTGGTGGAGGAGGACCCCAGGTGCCCCTTCGGGCATTATTTCAGGCACGAGCGGGCACCTGGGTAGAACCACCGACCTTCCGTAAGCCAGCTGGATGGCTTCCTCACATGAAAGATTTCGACCCGAGTGAGGATCGAACCTACAGCGGTGAGGGACCTGTGATCTCAAGTCAGCGACCTTAACCACTCGGCCACGGAGTCTTGTTATACCTGCCATTTATATTTGTGGGACTCCACTGAGGTTTTTTGTCAAGATGGGACTAAGACATGTGTGCAAAATTTCAGGTCATTTGCCCACTCTGTCTTTCCAGCATAATTAATTGTACTTGTGAAAAACACCCAAAATTGTAAAGTGTGACAACACTTCACCCATATCAGGATAGGAGTAGCACCAAAATACAATTTTCAATCAATTTCTGCTATATTTATAAGCATATCTTACTGTTCTTTTAGACCTGAGTGGAGTTCCTTTAAGTAAAGTCAGAAGTCTGTAAAAATTTATTGTTCCATCACCAGGTCACATTATGTTCATGTTGAACAGTTGTGATCACTGCATGTTCAGCTTTCCATTTTGTGGATCCAAAATAATTGTGTGTTAAAGTCTGTGTACAAGCTGACATAATGTTCATTATTCTATAGAAACAGCCATTGTGGGGTATGTTAAGTTAAACAATCCAGATCAAAGAATAAAACATGATATAATTTTCTGTTGGAAAAGTCCAAATCATCTGAGGCCCAATTGAATTTAATGGAATCATTAATTTTGTTGTTGTTGTTTGTTAGATAATATATAAAAAGTATTTTCAGAAACTGATTAACATCGTTTTACATTG